GTTAAGTGCCATTTGTACCGTTCTTTAGAATAAGTTCATATCTGTAGGACTCAATGCAATCAGTACTGTAGTTCAGTTTTTGAAAAACCTAAGAAAGTTTAGTTGAGTATAGTCTTGTACAGTTCAGTTGAGTACAGTCTTGTACAGTTTAGTTGAGTATAGTCTTGTACAGTTCAGTTGAGTATAGTCTTGTACAGTTCAGTTGAGTATAGTGTTCAGTAGCGTATAGTCTTGTACAGTTTAGTGGAGTATAGTCTTGTACAGTTTAGTGGAGTATAGTCTTGTACAGTTTAGTAGCGATAGTCTTGTACAGTTTAGTAGCGTATAGTCTTGTACAGTTCAGTTGAGTACAGTCTTGTACAGTTTAGTGGAGTATAGTCTTGTACAGTTTAGTGGAGTATAGTCTTGTACAGTTCAGTTTAGTACAGTCTTGTACAGTTCAGTTTGAAAGCGTAGAGTTTAAAAGATTCAAGTATGTCTTGAAAGCAAAATACAATTTCAGTTTTCTGTTCTGTTTGAGAGACAGGGGTTTCCAGAAAGGATGTGACTTCAGTGACTAGTATTTTTTCTTACATTCATGGTTCCCTACGTCATTTCACTTCTTTATTTATTTTCCAAATCATTTAATTGACCTTAAGAGTTAAGAAGATTGTTTTTAAGGCAGAAAACTAAACTCGACCTTAAAACCATCGTACCGACAAAATTTTATGTCGTCATTAAGCCCTTTCCTTTTGATATTACTGTATATATATATTTATAATAAGTCTAATTATGTATATTTAGATAAGTATTAATATCAAAGTTTAAAAAGGGGTTTTTGAAAAGAGATAAATGGTTACTAGAATTTTGCTCATACTTTGCATTTTAGGAAACTTAAAAAATATCTAATATATATCTGACATTTACTTTAAAAAATCAAAGAAAGATTTGTGTGAAGAGAAACAGAGAAAAAACATATGCATAATGTCTACAGCAGAAAGCTACGAAATCTCAATGTCAAACTTTTCATTTTTCTAGATTTTTTTCTTCCTAATATTGCCCTGTGTTCTAAAGCGTTGAATAGAAATAAAGACGGTTAGGGGGAGGGAAAGGGTTTTAATATGAAAAACACTTTTACAAGACAAATGTTTTAGACAGTTCTCTATACCAATGATCAGAAGCTGTATATTCCATGTATCCTATCAGAAACTGTATATACTCCATGCATGTATTCTATATAGAAACTGTATATACTCCATGTATCCTATACAGAAACTGTATATATATTCCATGCATTCTTACTGAAACTGTGTATATATTGTATACTCCATGTATTCTATACAGAAACTGTCTATACTCCATGTATACTATATAGAAACTGTATATACTCGATGTATCCTATGTCGAAACTGTATATAATCCATGTATCCTATGTCGAAACTGTATATAATCCATGTATCCTATGTCGAAACTGTATAAAATCCATGTATCATATGTCGAAATTGTATATAATCCATGTATCCTATACAGAAACTGTATATAATCCATGTATCCTATGTCGAAACTGTACATAATCCATGTATCCTATACAGAAACTGTATATACTCCATGTATCCTATATAGAATCTGTATATACTCCATGTATCCTATACAGAAACTGTATATACTCCATGTATCCTATATAGAAACTGTATATACTTCATGTATCCTATACAGAAACCGTATATACTCCATGTATTCTATATAGAATCTGTATATAATCCATGTATCCTGAACAGAAACTGTATATATTCCATGCATTCTATGTCGAAAATGTACATAATCCATGTATGTTAATGCCTAAAACTTTTTCTATCTGCATTTTTTACTACTTAAAAATTTATGTTCGATTAAGGATTTAAACTTTGAAGTATATAACTGCAGTGTTGAACCAATATTTATCTATGTATGGTGCCCAAGGTGTTAAGTATTAAGTTTCTAAGCATTAATTGTTAAACCAAGAAGAAGATGAAATGTAACTTGTAAATCCTATTCTTCATGGAAACCTAGAGAAAGAGGAAAGTGTCTCGACTAAACACTGTATATATCTAGGTATCACTGCAGTACACCAATATAACACTTAAACCAGTGTGTTCACTATCTATCTATCTGTTACAGTATATAAGGCCTGTGGCTTGAACTGTGTCCCGGCCAGAGATCGGACCAGAACTAGGGAGATAGCGAGGGCTAGGAGGGACATGGGGGGAGGGGGGATGGGCGGCCTCAGCCCGGTATATCAGCACACTAACACTATGTTTACACCACTTATACTCGGCGTAGGTTTTGGTTTGGTTTAACAGGGAATATATGAGGTTAACCTCTCTGTAACTAAGGTCGGGATGGATATAAATGTCAACGTGTGAACAAGGGAGGGAAGTGGGAGGGGGGGGGGGACGTCATAAACCAATCAGTTTAATAAAATATAAAATTGTGGTTTAATAAATAATGGGTTTCCCATTAATTCAATAAAAGAAAGAACATATGTGTAAGTGTATATAGGATTAATAAAGGGGTAATCTTCACATAAGGTAAAAACAAACTGACTATATATAGAATTAACTTTCATTAGACAGATTATATGCTTACAGAGAACTGATAAATTTAACTTGAATGAATGAACATTATCAATGAATCTGTTGAAAAAAATAAAATATTTCCTCTGCAGGCCTCAGGACAGGTTTCTTGTGCCAAATATTTGGCAATGTTCGTGTACTGGGATTTGCAAATATAAGGATTTTGCAGATCTTAGCGAGGACAAAATACAACCATATATAAATCAGAATCTATCCATATATGTACAGGGTGAGTGCGGTTTTCGTAGACCAAATTGAAATCTCTCTAAAACTGAGAAAAACAATTTTTTTATAAAGTTTTTTCAAAGGATGTTTATTTAGTCATAACAAACATTTTTATTTAATAAAACCGCATTTTACATCATCGACCTTCTCCACACATTTCCTCAAGACAGAGAAGGCACTGACGATTTTTACGTGCGGCATATCATCAAATACTCTAATATAAGGGGTGTTGTGTTATAAGGGGTTCTATTGACATCCTTCTCCGCCCGGGACTACATATATAACAATTAAGGGGATTCATGACGTGCTTCATGTGCGCCCTGCACTCTATCCTCTTTAGCTTCACTGCACTTTCGGTGGATGTAAGATTTGTAGCCTACCTTCTCCTTCACAATCAATATTGCCCAGCAACCTCCCAATCATGGTTCAAACCTTCGATATTTCAAACTTAGAATATTTGATTTGATTTCATAGTTCAAAATATCACAGGTATAAGAAATGGGGTAGCAAAGATATATGGATGTTGTGGAAAAAACTAAGTTCCTTTAATGAGTAGATATATTGATAAAATATATATTAAAACATCTATTAGTCAATCATCAGTTTTTCATCGTTTAGCAATCATAACACTCTCCCGGCACAATTTATATCCTAGTACATGTCACTTATCATGTACTATACAGGGTGGGGGGGGGGGGGGAATATATATATATATAATCTAGAGAATGATCATGAAAAACAGTAAATCTTGTGAATGTCTAGTGTCTAGTGTATCAGGATCTCGTGTAGAAGTTTAAGATTGGTTTTAAAGATTTGTGACATAGGATCGTGCTGTAAATTGGCCATTAATATTTCGGGGTAGACATACCTAGTCAAACCTTCACTATACATAGTTCAGTATCTTTAGATTTCCTTTTAAATTCACAACTTTAAACAACTCATAAACATTTATCAAATTTAATAAGATTGTTTTAGTATTCATTGTTTACGTTATGCAATGTTGCTATGTTGTATGTCATGTACATTGTACAATGTACATGCGTTCACCTATACTTCTATATAGATTATTTGTCTGATAAACCCCTTATGAGTTGTAGGTGGAACAATACTCATATATATTCATCCTACACCATTAATAAAGGTAGATAAGAACTAGAACTGAGAGAAGAGGGTTTATTGCTCCAGGGATACAAAATACAGAGTATAGGATAACATCAAGGAGAACCAACATATTGGACTAGGATGCAGAGGATTAGAGTAGGATACATAAGATTGGACTAGGATACAGAGGCTTGAACTAGGATACAGAGGATTGGGCTTGGATTCAGAAGATTGGACTAGGATACAGAGGATTGTACTAAGATACAGAGGATTTTGATAGGATACAGAGGGTTGAACTAAGATACAGAGGATTAAACTGGGGTACAGAGGATTGGGTAAGGATAAAGAGGAATGGGTCTAGTCACTACAAAGGATTGGACTAGGATACAAAGGATTTGACTAGGATACAGAAGATTTGACTATGATACACAGGATTGCACTAGGATACAAAGGATTGGACTAGGATACAGAAGATTGGACTAGGATACACAGGATTGCACTAGGATACAGAGGATTGGACACGAATATAGGGGAAAGAATCTTAATACAGGGTAATATAGTTTATGTTTGTAAAAGGAAGAAGATGGTTTGCGAGCTAGTGTATCTAGAATCTACATAAATTAAGTCAATAAATAGGAGATAAGTAACAAAAGAATAAATATTTAGAGCGTGAAAGAAGAATTGCAAAGCATTTGTCCTATGTATTTTAGAAATATTGTAAGAATACAAATTAGAAAATAGAACAACCATAACACACAGACACATAAACACACACAAACACACACACATACAACTAGGTTCCCTTAACAGTCAGCCTTGTCAAATAGCAATAGACCTTTGAAAACATTTACACACTTCATAGAAAATCAGACATTTTTCTCAAAAAAAATCTATTTCTCAAGAATAAAGTGAATATTTTTTGAGGAAAATTATTTTGAGATAATTTTTATTTACTGCATTATGTTGAACTTTTTCCAACTCCTATCTAGTATATAACCTACTGGTTCTATGGTTCTCCTATCTAGTATATAACCTACTGGTTCTATGGTTCTCCTACTCCTATCTCGGATAATATTCTCCTACCTTATCCTGTTTAGTCTCACTATCCGTGGTTCCTCCACTACCAAATGAAGCCAAGGAACCCCGTTCCATATTCTCTATACTCTCATCTAATGATCTTGTCTCCTCCAGATCCCTGTGGAAAAATTCATTAAATATTAGTTTTATTTTTCAACCCGACCAGATCTAAAGCTTTGCAAAATGTAATTAACAAAATAAATTCAATCCTGAAGATTAAATGCTAACCCACAAAGAATGCGACTTAAATAACGGCAGATTCTCTGGATTAATAATAAGGTTGAATTATGTCTTAATGTATTCTTTTAATGCTATAAAGCTACAAGGGAAACTCCTTACAATAATTCGAATTTTTTAATATTTCCATCTTGAACCATGAAGGATGATAAAAATAATAATAATACTGTCTGATTGTAACCTGCTGGATCGTTGACTAGTTGTATGTTTATGTCCTCTACTACTGGTAGGAACAGCTAAGCTAGATATACCAGGAGGACCACTGTTACTACCGAAATATGTTTCCTGGATCAACTGTCTCATCTTCCGAACCCACAGCTGTTTAACATCCATTGAAGAAGCTTTTAATATCACCTAAACAAGTTCAAACATCAATGTTTAAACTCTATAATTTCATAAACTCTAATTTTATAATTCTATGCAATCTGATGTTGTTAAACTTAGATTTTTTCGAACTATAAATTCTACAAGAAAAAAAAGTTAAAGATTAAATTATCAAAGGTTAACAGAAATATAGGGATGCAAAAGTAGATTGTTTTACAAACCTTTCCAAAATCATTTTTTTCGCTAAAAATATTTTCTAAGATTGCGTTCACGGGTTACAATCATAATAACCACCAATAACAAAATTGAGAAAAATGTTGGTTAGCTGTGGGAAACTTTCAAACGAACCGCGGGACGAGAAAACTTAAAATCTGATTCAATATTGTTTAAATCTGTTTGGGATTAAAATTTTAAAGTTTATACTTAACAAAACTTTTTAATTGAATTCTTTCCTTCTCGGGTTGAAGGAAGCTTAAATACAGATTAGAAATAACCTTATTATTATTTCAAAAGAAATTGGTAAAAATAAAGATGAATATAAAAAATAAAGGTATTGACTAGACCATTAGCCCGTATGTATAAATATTACAGATAAATACCTGCCATCAGTTTACAGTTTATAAAGTAATATACAATATACATCATATTTCATTATCCCATTATGTAGAAGCTACAGCAAATACTTTACAATTTGTTCTTCAAAAAATCCAATACATTAATTAAATTAAAAACTTTTATGTCAGTTTGGATAATCTTTAGAAATAAAATGAGTTGAAAATAATCTATATCGGAATTTACAACAAAGAAAAAATTATTTTTTGTTCATTTTAAAGGAATGTAATAAAGCTGACTATTGATCTCCCACTACTCTATCCAAATCTAGAATCCAACCTTGAAACAAAATATTTTTCACTCAAACATTTATAAATTGATGCGTCCTCCATACCTTTGACTCTGAAGCAGGTGTGCGTCCTGTCCATACAGCAAACTTGCACTCATCACCTTCGACATGCTCGGTGATTCCGATATCACTCGTCTAGAAGTAGAATAGTAGAATATAGAAGAATAATAGAATAGAAAAATAGTGAAATAGTGTAAAATAGTGTAAAATAGAATAGTAGAAAATTAAAATAGAAGAATAAAAGAATAGAAGAATAGTAGAATAATAGAATAGTAGAATAGTAGAATAGCATGATAGTAGTATATTAGAACAGTAGAACAGTAGAACAGTAGAAAAGTAGAATAGCAGAATAGCATAATATCACAATAGCAGAATAGTAGGATAGTAGTATAGTAGAGAAGTAGAATAAAAGTATAAGATGAACATCAGTATATACTCTAGATCTCCTCTAGGGAGAGGAATGAATAAGACTAAAATAAGATCACGTACACAATACACTACAGTACAAGATTAATAAACAGCATTACGTTCCCATATTCTGCCAGCTTCAGAGAAATTTAGAATTTTAAATTATAAATATAAATCTTATATATTGCAGTAAAACTAAAATTTTATAAAATTTTTAAAAAATATTTCTCAGAAACTTTCAGGCTATATTTGCTAAATATAGGTTTAACAGCTGTCAACATATTTGAGAAATATGTATTTCCAACCGAACAAATCAAATAATGTAGAAAAGGTGATAATTCTAAAAATGTCAAGGGGTTATTAACCATTTATTTAGTAGAACTTGATTAAAACAGCAAGATAATGAACAGATTTTAACAATTTGTAATTAAAACCCTTGAGGCCCTGGTAGGATCGGAATAAATTAAAGTTTTATCAACAATCTGCTGATTCTGCTCTCTCTACATTAAACTTCAACAGATGGAATATTTAAATAATTTGATCATTTTCAGAATAAAAAAAAACAAAACAAAATTAGCAAAATAAATCTACAAGGTCATTAGATAAATGACAGAATTCTAAACTTTTGTGTGGAGTATCGTTAATATTTAATACTTGATCTTGATATCCGATTTGGGCATTTATAAAATCAAATAGAAATAAACAAAACTGTGAGGCGTACTCATAAATGCTTAAGCGTAATTTTTAAATCGTATTTTTGATTTTTAATATTCAACTAAGAATTTTGTGATTTCAAATATTGTTTACCTACTTTTTTGTTATGAAAATTGAATTAAGAAATATTTCTTAATATACCTCTTGCCTAGGGACATGTTGTCTCTTGTTTGCAAACAAAAATAAAAGGTTTGCGCAAGTAATGAAAATATGTTTTAAGTCTGTTACTCTTTTCCCCTGTGTTATTATTCTCCCTGAACTCACCATCATCTTCATCTTATACATGTACTTGGCCTTCCCGCTGCTGTCCTTGACTTCCTTGCTGAACACGAGGTACAGGTCGAACAGGAACATTCTCCTCTCCCTGCTCTGCCTTATCAACTTCTTCTGATCCCATACATGGAACACATCCTAAACATATGTATATGTAATTTTTCAAAATTAGACAATGATGCACGGACAACTAGAAAACAATGTAGATTTAGAAAAACAAAAATGTAAAATTACTTGCAGCTGATTTATATTTTTATATCTAATCTATAGAATTTTGTTAAAATTAAAATGTAAGAATGAATATGCTAAAAAATATGTACATGCAATTGGTACTTATCTTTTTTTTATCACCAAAATACGTTTTTATTTCATATAAATTGTTTTAAAACTTACAGCAATACTTGATTATATTTAAATTATTAAGCCAAAATATATCTATCTTTCAATCTATCTATCTGATTCAAATGTAAATAAAGACCTGGAACTAATATGTACCAAACAACAACTATTATCGTCTGGTAAAATCAAAAAACTAATAATAAAAAAATAATTTTTAAAAAGTTTCTTCACCTCCTCCTCTAAAAAAACTTGTTTAATAACTAAATCTTCTAATCTTATCTAACTTTGATTATTTTACTGCTGAGTCCTGTATTTTACACATGGCTGGGCTACAGAGCAAAGGTACATGAGAATTTTCCTCAAAATTAAAGATATTAAATAAAATATCAAGAATATGCCTAGTGTACACTGTAGAGAACTTAGTATACTAAATTATATTTAATATATCAAGGTATTGTAAACCCTAGATATATGTATTATATCAAGATATTGTACACCCTGGATATATTTATTATATCAAGGTATTGAACACCCTGGATATATTTATTATATCAAGATATTGTAAAGCCTGGATATATTTACTATATCAAGATATTATAAACCCTGGATATATTTACTATATCAAGATATTGTAAACCCTGGATATATGTATTATATCAAGGTATTGAACACCCTGGATATATTTATTGTATCAAGATATTGTAAAGCCTGGATATATTTACTATATCAAGATATTGTAAACCCTGGATATATTTATTATATCAAGATAGTGTACACCCTGGATATATTTACTATATCAAGGTATTGTAAACCCTGGATATATTTAATATATCAAGGTATTGTAAAGCCTGGATATATTTAGTATATCAAGATATTATAAACCCTGGATATATTTATTATATCAAGATATTGTAAACCCTGGATACATTTATTATATCAAGATATTGTAAACCCTAGATATATTTATTATATCAAGGTATTGTAAAGCCTGGATATATTTAATATATCAAGATATTATAAACCCTGGATATATGTATTATATCAAGATATTGTACACCCTGGATATATTTATTATATCAAGATATTGTAAACCCTGGATATATGTATTATATCAAGGTATTGTAAACCCTGGATATATTTATTACATCAAGGTATTGTAAACCCTGGATATATTTATTATATCAAGGTATTGAACACCCTGGATATATTTATTATATCAAGATATTGTAAACCCTGGATATATTTATTATATCAAGATATTGTAAACCCTGGATATATTTATTTTATCAAGATATTGTAAACCCTGGATATATTTACTATATCAAGGTATTGAACACCCTGGATATATTTATTATATCAAGGTATTGTAAACCCTGGATATATTTATTATATCAAGATATTGTAAACCCTAGATATATTTATTATATCAAGGTATTGTAAACCCTAGATATATGTATTATATCAAGGTATTGTAAACCCTGGATATATGTATTATATCAAGGTATTGTAAACCCTGGATATATGTATTATATCAAGGTATTGTAAACCCTGGATATATTTATTATACCAAGGTATTGTAAACCCTGGATATATTTATTATATCAAGGTATTGTAAACCCCGGATATATGTATTATATCAAGGTATTGTAAACCCTGGGTATATTTATTACATCAAGGTATTGTAAACCCTGGATATATTTATTATATCAAGATATTGTAAAGCCTGGATATATTTATTATATCAAGATATTGTAAACCCTGGATATATGTATTATATCAAGGTATTGAACACCCTGGATATATTTATTATATCAAGGTATTGAACACCCTGGATATATATATTATATCAAGATATTGTAAACCCTGGATATATTATTATATCAAGGTATTGAACACCCTGGATATATATATTATATCAAGGTATTGTAAAGCCTGGATATATTATTATATCAAGGTATTGAACACCCTGGATATATTTGGTATAGAAACCAGATACTTTATTCATTGATTGAAAAATAAAGAGTGCGTCTCCTTTATCGAAGGGCAACCACAAGAAACATTAAAATATCTTTAAATGGATAACATCTGGCATTAAATCCTACTCCTGTATTATTCCTTGTACCAGGAAATAAACATATTTATCCGGCGCCTTAAGAACTTTTCCTGGCGCTATGTATTGTATAGCTTGTCTACTTGATACCAAGTTACGTATCAAAAATGCTATTGGAGCTGGTCTGGTATAAGTATACAACTGGCAGTGAAGAAGTCTGACCTTTCTACCATGCCCAGGAAAGTTCTGACCTTTGTTTACAGGTTTTGATATTTTTAGTAAAACTATAGTTCACAGCAGTCCTAATACGTCACCGCAAAATGTGGAGACAGCCCCTATGCCCCCTACTTTTAGGATACCATGCTCAATCAGGTATTTATTTGGTTTAAATTGAGCTACTTTCTTTAGCGATTTAATAGTTTACATATTTTCTTGGAATACATATCCTCTGTATTTTTTACTTAATCATCTAATTACTTCTGGGATTTCAGATTTCAGATTACACAGAAAATAGGGAAAAAATAATTATCAAAATTGATAAAACATGGCCAAGTTTCAAGTGGAATAGATTATACATATTGTTCTTATATTTAACTTTAAATGATTAAACATTGTTAAAGATTAAGCTATAATAAAAATATTTGCTGAACATTGCATAGTGCATAAATGTTCATTGTTCATACAATAAAATTATTTATTTGTTTTGGTGATTATTTTCTACACTTGTGTATCTATATTTGGTTCTATATTTGGATCTATACTTGTTTCTATATGTATATCTATATCTATATCTATATATAAATCTATATATATATATGTATCTATATCTGTATCTATATCTATATCTATATCTATATCTATATCTATATTTATATCTTTATCTACCTGTAGAATAACTTCTCCAAGATGTTCTAAACTAATATCACAGCCATCAAGCAAGGAAAGGTGGAGCGCATCATTCGCCTAAATCAAACAAAAATGAATTAATCATTCAACCAATTAACCAACCAACCAATCAATCAATCTACATAAGGGATCCAAAAGTATTGATAATTGATACGAGTCTGAAAATGATGGATGGGAATATATCTAAGCAATATAAACTATGTGTCAGTACCAAAGGATATAAAGACCCGAGAAGCAAAGTTATTTAGTATAAAGAATCGTATAACAAGGTTCATTAGTTTATATATTATATATATCTGGTTACAGACACCATCACATAAATATCTCTAAGGAGACACAAGAATAAAAACATGCTATAGCTTGATATTAACATTAATATAACGACTGACATGTCATATTGTTCTGACATAAATATTGAAAGGATAAAACTGATGGCTGTATTCTTGTAACTTTACTGAAGGAGGAGGAATTTGAAAATCTTAGTAATTCAATAGATTGCTTATTTTCAAAATAAAAATATTAATGATGATAATTCATCTCAAATAATCCCAAATATATAAGAAGTTACCCTTCTAGGAACTGAGAGACAAACATCTAATCCGTCCTTAATCTCTCCATATTCAGCTTCAGTAGAGCAGCTTAGAAGATCTTTTAGTAGCAGCTGATACTTTGTTATCCTAGATAGATAGATAATGAGATAGATAAATGTAATAAAAATTTACGACACTTTGCACCCTATTCTTTTCTTCAAATTAACTTATTTAGTGAAATAGGTCTGTGTTTCCTGTCCATGTATATATAAGAAAGCAAAGGGACAAAGTTAGTACAACTGCAGTAAAAGTAAAAGTAAGATAAATGCCGGAATATTTCTGCTTCCATGCTTTCCTACCCTAACACTGTTCCAGAATATATAATGTGTATTCGAAGGAAAAATAAAAAAGTTTTAATAAATAACTTTGTATTTGAGACTATAAAACCATGGACCTATACAAAACTAAATCTAAACCAGCATACTCAACAAGATTAATTCGATGCAGGGTTACAAATTTTTACTATTGGTTTTTTGTTTATAACCTTGCCTTTGATAAAAAGATCAGCAAGGTCTATACACAGGAACTTTTCTGGGGCGGGGGGGGGCTTAACCTTTGTATACGCCTCAAAGATCAATTTGAAAAAATCACACCACGCTAAAGGACAGAGAACTAACATTGTCAATGAAAGAGGAAAAGAAATAAGGTTAACTTTAGTTTTGATTTCTCTATATTATTGTAAAAAGAGTCTAGAGGCGAGGAATAAAATGATTTTACTATACTCAAAGGAGAAGAAAGAAATTTCCCAATCTTCAGATGAATTTTTTCCACATTGAACAATATATAAGGTTTTCACAAAGCTCGTCAAAAAAAAGGTCTATCGGTTTTTTTTAATAGTATCTAAAAACTAAATTTGTCTGTAATCTGATCTCGATATTAAATATCAGAAAAATGGAAAATATTATTTGCACATTTCATAAGAGATAAAATGTATCAATACTTCAAAGGATTCCAATGAAAAAAAGTAATTGAATTACCAAAAAAATGTAAAAAAATACCTTTGAACTGGTTTGATGAGGTATGCAGCTATAGGTTGCTCTAGTTTGGCAAGGTGCTGAAGGTGCTCGAAGTATGGTACACCATGTTGTACCAACAACTCCGTAGATTTGGGTTTGTTTGTGCAGTACCGTACATAAACCGAGAAATTGGAGGCCTAATTAAAAATTTGTTATGTTCAATCAACGCGAATCTAATAAAATAATTATATTTTATATGATTAAAACAATATCCTATCCTCATCCAAGATCTCATATTGACTTTATTGAAAATTAACTTCATATATTACTTTTATTGCTCCTACTTTATTCTCGAAATTTCTACAGTTCTAAATTAAATTCCTAGATTCTCTGCTGCATTTTAAACACGCATAAAACTCAGATCGTTTGTAAACAAAAAGTAAACAAAATAATATTGAAAACAAACCACATTGTTAGGGGAAAAACATCAAATAAAAAAAATGTCGGGCCTTTAAACTTATTAAAATAATGAAAAATCAAAGCCTAGATCCCGTCAAAAATAAATCCATGAAATGATAGAAAAATCCACAACTTAAATATAAAAATGGCGTGACTTAACACCGTAAGAACCTACCCATGTAACAAAACAATGTCCAACGTCCTCCGGCATCATCTCGTACTTCTCTAGCTCCTTGAGGAAGGTTCCCCTGTGGAAGGAGCAGATGTCCTCGAGGTTACCGAAGATAGCAGCCTCCTTGCCCCGTAGTGAGGCTGGAACCTCGCCCCCTACTCCTGTTCTCATTGGTATAAGGAAACTATTCACAGCTAACTCAAGGTCCTAAAATATCAACAAAAATATTAGAAGGAGGGAAAACCAAACTGACATGTCTTCACTTTAATGTCATCTTTTATTTTTTTCTTAAATTATTTAATTTTTATTCCTTTTACATTTTTAACTTAGTTTCCCGGAAATCTTGTAGCGTCTGGTAACTAATAATATATTAACTGAAGGGGGGGGGGGAGGCCGAGGGTCCATAAACTATTAGTTCCTTTATGTTTTACTAATGGCTTTCTGGAAAGTTGGAATTTTTAATCCAATTGCTATCCGTCTTCATCTTAAAAGGAAAAAAAGTTTCAAAATACTTGATTTTTTTCCAAATTGACGGTTTTTACATTTTTAACCATGATTGTGACTTGGGATTAAAAAATGGACGAACCTTGACATAACTCCTTTCTGTTTCTAGGAGTTCTGCCATAATAAACTCCTTCCTCCTGGCAGACCTCCTTTTCTCCTCATTCAACTCCTTTATCTGTTTCAAGTCTGCTACGCCATCCTAGCAGAACAAAATAATTAAAACTAAGTTGTTTAAACCAAGAGTGGACTAGCTACTTCGTTGTAATTCTAAGTGACCCTCCATTTCCATAGAGAGGCACTCCAGATTTAGAACGGTACTCTTGATTCTTGAAACCTTAATCTGATTAATAATATGGAAGATGACATAGATTTTCTTGCTTCAAATGAGTTTAATAATTTTCTAATGCTTCTGAAGCAAGAAATACAAAAGTCACATAGAGAAACCCCAATTAAAAATAATCAGTTTTCAGTTATCAAAAACATAGATATATAATTCTTACTTGATCACACTAAGCTTTTAAGGGTACCTTTGTAAAACGGGTATGTCCCTCTATAAATGGAGGGTCATATGAAATTATGTCTATACTGTTCTTTTAACTTTGAGAAAAAGTTTGTCTATATAGAGTTTGTCTATATAGAGTTTGTCTGTATAGAGTTTGTCTATATAGAGTTTGTCTATATAAAGTTTGTCTATATAGAGTTTGACTATATAGAGTTTGTCTATATAGAGTTTGTCTATATAGAGTTTGTCTGTATAGAGTTTGACTATATAGAGTTTGTCTATATAAAGTTTGTCTATATAGAGTTTGTCTATATAGAGTTTGTCTGTTTAGAGTTTGTCTATATAGAGTTTGTCTGTATAGAGTTTGTCTATATAGAGTTTGTCTATATAAAGTTTGTCTTTATAGAGTTTGTCTATATAGAGTTTGTCTGTTTAGAGTTTGTCTGTATAGAGTTTGTCTTTATAGAGTTTGTCTATATAGAGTTTGTCAATATGGTGTTTAAGAATATAAACGATACTGTGTATATTTTAAGAGACTATCTCCTGTCGGTGTAGTTTCAACTAATTCTTAGAATTCTGGCAATTTCTTCCATTATTGCTGAAGCAGAAATCCCAAAGTCCCTTAATCTATATAATAAAGCTCTTCGCTCGTATATATTTATTTGTATATATGTTAGCTATAGCTGGCCAAATGGGCTGAATTTTTTTGAGGGAACCCTTGAGTAGGCTAAAAAAAAAATGAATTTTTTTCTTCAAAATTCTTGATTTTTTTCAAAAATCGAATTTTATATTTCAAAAATCGAATTATATTTTTCAAATTCGATTTAAAAAATTCCAGGGCAACGCCGGGCACTTCTGCTAGTATAGAAATAAACAAAGAGAAAATGATGAACATCCTATACATTTTTCATTAGAAATTATTTAAGGGAAACCACTTTATAGATAGAGAGTTAGTTGAAAATACAGTCGCTTTCAGCTACAAAATGATGCCTAATTGGCCATGATTAATGAAACAATAAAAACAAGACAAACCACTTAATCTGACAGAATTGTAATCCTATTCTTGACACGAATTATGATAAGGTTTCAAGGTATAAAAAATCAATTTATCAAGGGGTAAAATTGCCAATAACTGAAATAATGTTTAGAAAATAAATATTTTTACACAAATCTGTTTTCGTATATTAAAGTGTTTTACTAACCTTGAATCTAGACTCTAGAGCAGGGTCTGAACCAGTATCTTTCTCCAACATCAAGCCGACTCCAACACTCAATCCCAAGGACGCCTCAAGCTGAAAAGTTGGAAAATTTAAATAGAATAAACTTGATCAGTTTGCAGGAGGACAATGATAATTCAGGTTACAAATTAAAAACCTCCCGGATTTTAAAAATCCACTTTCACGGATTTTCTTCAAAATCATTAAACTTCTTTTAAAAACAATAAATTTTATCTATGCTGTGCAATACAGTACAATCCATGCAACTGTGAAATAGGCAGACAGTAATGCAATTTTTATAGTAAACAGTTTTAGCAGTTCCTTGAAAATCAGATTTTAATAGTAAATAGTTTTAGCAGTACTTTGAAAATCAGATTTTAATAGTAAATACTTTTAGCAGTACTTGAAAATCAGATTTTAATAGTAAATAGTTTTAGCAGTACTTGAAAATCAGATATTTATAGTAAATAGTTTTAGCAGTACTTGAAAATCAGATTTTTATAGTAAATAGTTTTAGCAGTACTTGAAAATCAGATTTTTATAGTAAATAGTTTTAGCAGTACTTGAAAATCAGATTTTTATAGTAAATAGTTTTACAGCAGTACTTGAAAATCAGATTTTAATAGTAAATAGTTTTACAGCAGTACTTGAAAATCAGATTTTTATAGTAAATAGTTTTACAGCAGTACTTGAAAATCAGATTTTTATAGTAAATAGTTTTAGCAATACCTTGAAAATCAGATTTTAATAGTAAATACTTTTAGCAAATTGGAAATCAGATTTTTAAGTGAAATGTTCATTGATGTTCATTGGACTTTTCCACAGTTTGAAGGGTCTAACTGTATGTAACATACCAAGAATTGTCTCAGATATATTCAATGTATTGTTTACATTCATGTATCACTGTAACTCAGTATTATTATTTGTGTATCAAAGTATGATCATATAAATATCATTACACCATCCAAACTTGTGTGATAGCTTATTTACTTTTCTTGTGTTAAATATAGTTTGCAACAACTTAAACAAAGGAACTGAGTGGTGTCTTATTACAAACTCGAATTTTATCTGTGCAACCTGATGTCGATGATTTTAACTATGAATTCTGTCAAATTAAATATTTAAAGTTAAAGAATTAAAAGGTTAAATATACGAAAATGGCACAAAATGATACAAAAATGTAAAAGATGCATTGAATATATTGAATGAAAAGGAATAAGCTGTAAGCTTTAAAACTTGAAATATATTGTCAATCAATTATAGAAACGAGCATTCAGTTAATGCAACCAGGATATTTCCATACAGAGAGCTGAGAATTCTTGTATCGTGGATATCGAAACCACTGCTTGATCTGGATCTTTTGCTAATCTACAGATTAATTTAATCTTAATTGGATATCCTGAAAAGAATGTCGTCTGTGTAAAACGAAAAGCCAATCAGAAGCCAATGAATTTTGCTATCAACCAATGAGAAAATAAAGATAATTTGGATACCACAAATCAAGATATGAAGCAGATTCTTCGTAACATCAAATTTTTTTTATATTAAATTTGAGAACTTTTTTTTTATTGTTTTTCAAAGTAATAAAGCGATAATGTTCACAATTGAAATAGAAGATGAGCCTAGTAAAATATATTCTTTATTGGCTCAAACTATTGATTCCTTATTTTATGATTTTAACGAGTTTTACGAGGAATCATTACCATCCTTCTTAAGAGAACCCCCCCCCTCTGTCCCTCCCGCTCCCTTTAATAGATAAATAATATTTCTTAGAAAGAGAAAATCTGGAAAAAAGTTTCCCAAAGGTTTAGTTGACAGCTCTATGTACACAACTTTCTGAATAATCTTTAGAAGAAAATACTGCTTGAAATACTGCTTGAGAGGTATATTTTAGAAAAACTCGCAGGAAATAATTTTAGCTGTGTATTGTAGCAGGGAAAAATAACATTGTGCATGATGCGTTAATGTAAAGAAGGATTACAGGGACAATGAATCTAAATTTGCAGAATTCAATTGAGAAAAACTCAAAGAAACTTTTCCTGCAATAATCCTTTTTCTGCACAACAGAAAGAAGAATCTTGTAGTTCTTTCTTTATTTGATCTTATTTAACATGTTCCTACTTTCAATCAAATTACGTCTTCTTTAAACCAACCAAAAGTATTTTTATCGCTTGTTTGTAACTTAAAACCAGCCAATTATTTAAAACTTTCATTCTTACAGGGAAAGCAGAGTTTAAAATCCTTTCAGTAAAAAACTGTTTATCTCTAGATTCTACTGTTTTGATTTCCTCCCACTGCAGTATGCAAATATTTTAGATTCCTGAGATCAGGGACCTAATTTAATGAATTGCGAGAAGTCGTTGAACTACGTAGAGACGGTTTGACCACGTATTTTTTATTGGAACTTGGAATTGGCGATTTAAGATTTGATCCAGTGATCACTAAAGAGATAGTTGAACCTCTCTCCAGTTCATCAATTTCCGTCCATGATTAAGAGAATAGCGGGAAATGAATCCTAAAGAATTTGTCCACAACACTGCATACTCAGCTTAACCTTACAAATCCGATAGCTGTCCCATTAAAGCACTTCTCTTGTAGGTTCAAGCTGAGGAGAAGTTGTTCAATATAGTCCATGAGTTCAACGTATTGTCTATATTCATATAATTCTGTATTTTCTTTAAGTTGATGCACTATACCTTCTCTCTATACTGATCCATCCTTGAGGAGAAGTTCTTATAGGTTTCATCAACCTCTTCCACCCACTGCTTAATGTTTGGAGCATGAGCATGTCCCTAAATATGATAAATAGTATTAATATTAGTTTTTAAACACAAAATACGATATAATAAAATAATCTTTTTGACAAAGGTAAATTGTAAATAAAATGTTAATTAAATTAATTGTTTTTAAGTTTAAATAAATAAAGGTGAAATAAAAGGATTTTTAGTCTGCAAACTGTATTGTTTTCAAGTGGAAAAGTAAAGCCATCCATCTTCACCACTAAGTTGTGTAAATATATATTTTGTCCCTTTAAATAAAAAGTAGTTGTTAGATCATCAGTTTTATTGATTGTGTCGACTATGCTTTCACAATCAACTAAATGCTTAGTCTGGACATATTAGACAATATGGATGGGTATTTTAGTCTTTTTACACTGCATTACCGCGACTACTAAATTCACCTTCTGTAAGGCATATGGAGTAAGATCTAATTTCATATTTCAAAGCGCTTCAGTTCATATTTCTAAACGCTAAAGTTAATATTTCAAAACGCTAAAGTTTATAATTCTAAACGTTAAACTTGATATTTTTAATCCGTCTCTGAATAATATATATATTTGAATAGTTTTCCTGGAAAAGCTGGAGGTAAAAGTTTTCTCTATTGGAGAAATAAAGGAATAGGATTAAAGAATTTAAGTTGAAGGATTAAATGTTTAAACTGTAGGATTAAAGGTTTAAACTGTAGGATTAAAGGTTTAAACTGTAGGATTAAAGGTTTAAACTGTAGGATTAAAAGTTTAAACTGTAGGATTAAAGGTTTAAACTGCTATAGGAATAAAGGTTTAAACTGTAGGTTTAAACTTAACATCTTACAAGATTTTCATGAATAAAACTAAGCCATTTGAAAGCGATTTTGACCGGAATTTTTTGTATTTGGACCCATACCAGTGTTACAAATTTAATCAGTCTTACTTGTTCTTAATTTTCTAATAAAACAACTTGATAATTCAATGTACATAGCACAGTCACTGATTTCACAATCATTAGATTTGGACTATTTAAATAATAACTTGAGTCTGTTAGACTGTGTTTTCCCCAGTTTTTTACGTATAGGAATTTTTTTTTTTTTATTAAGGTTGCATCAGTACTGCATAAGTATAACTAAATAAATTGCATTTTATAAAACTTGAATTCTCTAAGGGTAAAAATGCATGTTTTTTGATAAAATGAGCAACAAAAAAGATAAATTTAGTGTGATATTACAAAGTTAAATTACATCAAACTTTGAATAGTTTATAATAATTAGCTCTAGACTTAATTTATATTAAATATATTCAGCTTACAGGGAGGGTAAAGGTTATTGTTGGATTCACATTGGTGCCCTTATAAATTTTTATATTCATGACAAATTTTCAAAAAAGGTTATTTTTCAATTATGGTTTCTGTGCAACCTGCGGAATTGTTAATCAATTTGTAAATGATTAAAACCCTTGAAAAATTTTATAAAAATTATAAAAAATGTCTCTAACTAACAACCCTTTCATTAACAAGTTGTCATCAGAACTTTGCCCATCTTAACTATACCGTAAATATTAGATTGAAAATAAACACTAAATATTATTAATTAATTTACCTTTTCTACAAGCGTATCAGCTAACTGTAAGAGAAGTTTGACTTTCTCCCTTGTTTCGCGGGCTTTTTCCTAGATTTCATACAATTATAATTTGATAGTTGAATGGAACTCATCACTCCACACAAACTGGAATTCTCTAAACCTTACACCTTTTTATCTGATGGTGTAAACCTTTAATATTACTATTAATATTTAATCTAACACAGCTCATAGCTTGAAATATCAAAAGTCTAAGATATCAAAGATATAGGGATATAAAACAGAATTTGTGGCGAGGGTGAAGGTCCTTTGTGATTATTATTTCTCAGAAGGGATTTATCAACAATTAGGAAGCCTACAGGGTTTCCCATTTAGAATGAGAATTTAGAGACGACTGTACGGAATTTACACTGTCTGTTTCTTTATATTTATTATTTCCCGCGACTGTAAACTTCTTTTTTACTTTGCACAATCATTAAAAAGGCCACAAAAAGAAAATACGCAGAATACGTCATTCATCTAGAAACCGTCATATATAGTTTCAGGTCGTCATTACAGTATCGTCCAATGTAACCCTGTACATGTATCCAAAACAAAACAAACATAAACCCATATTTCTGGTTTTTATCGTTGGTTTAGATACACAGCACAGTCAATAGATACATGACTGTACCAGACATAAATAATTATTTATCAAAAAGGTTGTCGTCAGAAAAACATAAAAGCCTAATGTATTTTCTTGAAAAATCTTTCAGCCCCCCCCCCCCTCTCTTTACAATCTTTGGAACAGTTTACAATAAAACTAGTTCTAAATATGTCCCGATATGTCACAACCTATCTCCATATCCTTACCAATGTAAATATAACAAAGCTATAAAAGAATATATTCTTAAGATCTATATATTATTCTGAAATATTTTCAAAATGCCCTTGGCAGTGGAAGAAAGAAAGGAAGGATCAAACAAGTCTCAATAAAAAAATTTTCTTCTTTTTTATTAGTTTATTAGTTATTACGAATTTATTCCTAATTAGTTAATGAGAGAGTCTTGTAAAAATAAGAAGTGCACTGCAGGAAGCTTAGAGGTAGGGGGTCTTTTTATTACCTTAAATGAATTATGTTCTTGTAGAAGAACTTCGGTCTCTTCCTTGTTCTTTCCAACTTGAGTATGTGTACTCAAATATATATCTCCTAAAATAATATAAATAATATATTATTTGAAACTTGAGTATATGAACTCATATATCTATATATATCTCCTACAATTATACAATAGTAATAATTTTAAATGGAGTATGTAAGCCAAAAAATAATTGAAAATACTTAAAATCAGGAGCTGATATATTGAAACTACTAGAAACCAGGAGCTGATATATTGAAACTACTAGAAACCAGGAGCGGATATATTGAAACTACTAGAAACCAGGAGCGGATATATTGAAACTACTAGAAACCAGGAGCTGATATATTGAAACTACTAGAAATCAGGAGCGGATATATTGAAACTACTAGAAACCAGGAGCGGATATATTGAAACTACTAGAAATCAGGAGCTGATATATTGAAACTACTAGAAACGATGAGCTGATATATTGAAACTGCTAGAAACCAGGAGCTGATATATTGAAACTACTAGAAATCAGGAGCTGATATATTGAAACTGCTAGAAACCAAAAGCGGATATATTGAAACTACTAGAAACCAGGAGCGGATATATTGAAACTACTAGAAACCAGGAGCTGATATATTGAAACTACGAGAAACCAGGAGCTGATATATTGAAACTATATAAGTATGCTGACAATAAGAAGATTAACTACTTAGTTAGGTTCACAACTTTAACTCCTTCTTCTGCTCAGAAAGTTTAAAAATAAATCAGAAAAAGATTTTTTTTATGATTGAAAATTAGATCTTGATCTTGTTTTGAATTGGTTTGATATCAATTATAATAATTGGAAAATTCCCTTGAATATTGAATAAAATACCTTTATACAAATAAAAACAATAATATAATTATTAGAATGTTTAAGTCTATTGATGATAAATAATATAAAATTATTATATTATATCTTGTCTAATCCATCTTAATATATTAGTACAAGCTGTGTTAGTGGTTTATAGATTGCAATTATGTGCATTTATTAGAGATATGAAAAGTAAGCTCTTAGCTCTCTGTAATATTTAATTCTTCCTATTTTGTACTTTACAAGTTATGAAAGAAGATATACTTTATAAAATAAGGGAGCATTATTTTTAAGACTTAAGTATTACGAAATGTGTTTGTAAACTAAGCAAGATTTATGAATTACAGTTGATAAACGACGAATCCTAATATGTCTAATTGGCTATTCCTACTATTGACAGTACAATAATGCTATGCAGAGAACCACATCCTATTCCCCCGCATTTTGTAACTACGCTGGATAGACAAATTTATTTTAAATCCACAAAAAAACCGTTAACGAATAATGATAATTTGTATGCTCTTTTTAGCATATCTTAGGAAAAAATGTAAGTAAAAACGATGAACATCTACGCAAAGGGCTTTTTCTGATGGACGGGTGAGGGGGGGGGGAGAAGCTTATCCAGACCTTTCAGGGTTAATAAATTACCTTCTTCCTTAATCCAGGCTAAAGACTGACGAGCAGATCTCTCAAACAGAACATATTGCTGGTTCTGATCCAACCTGAACATGTTATTATATTATCCTGTGTATTGTATAAAAACTAAACAGCTGACTAAAATGACAATGGTAATTTAATGATTTATGTTTGATACCGGGATATGCTTCCCGTATCCGATAAGGGATAATACAAAAAAAATTAAAAGTAGTGACTTGATCCAATGACTTACTGTAGACAAACTGCACCCGTAATAAATACGAACTGAAGGTGTTTCCCACGGAATGAGTTTCCGTAAAAAATGTCTGCCAATTCGAAGTGCTTTATTTATAGATCTATAAAAATACTTTTCTTGTCTGTCTGTCCGTTTGTAAACAATAAACGTTTATACATTATAAAATGATCACCCTTGTTCCAGTATAAGTACACATTTCCGTTTAATGCTTAGCACTGATTTAAGGATTCATCTGGAATGATGAGATAGATAGATGTTACCGCTGTTGTAATTTCTATTGGTTCTAAACCGTCACCAAGCACGTGACTGAACCTTGATCGAATCAGACGCAACTGGAAAGATGAAAAAACAGTGCGTGTGATTCACAGTTGGAAACATTTCATAAACTGATTTTTAGGAAGGATAAGGCATGGAAACTTGTTTATAATGGCCTGCATGTTCTGATGGCACCATAAAATTTAATATCGAGCTAATTATTTTACGGAATCGGCCTGTTAGCAAAGCACTGTGCAATAGTTTATGCCTGTGTTATGTAGAATTACCTTTTCTTCTTATTTGTCCAATACTCTAGAACTCGGTTTTCTTGTGTCAACAATTTCTCAAGTATATCTAAACAAAATAACAGATATAGTAAGATAACAGGAGTATCAGGGAAGAGATATATAGACTTTTCCACAAATTATTTTTCCAATAAGGTAAAAGTCTTTTATTTGCTTAACTTTTGGGAAAAATAGATAAATCTTTAGGAAAAAGTATCACAAAGAGGAAAACATGCAGAAAAATCACTACCCCCCCCCCCTCTTCTATCCCCTTCTTTCTTACTTTTAACTTTAAGCTCTGGTCCTCTATATTCTGGATGGTTCGGATGGTTGAAGTACTGTAAACTTCTATTAGAATATTTAAGAAAGGTTTCAGCTGTTCTACGAGCCAAGGTACACGCCTAGAATACATAAATAATATCATCAGCTTTTCAGACTATTTTATAGAAAACATAAAATATAGCAATAATGGGAAATCTGTACATGATTATGAAGAACAATGATATGAACATGATTAAGAAGAACAATGATAATAATGATGATAAAAATAATAATATGATGAAAATAACAATGTGAAAAATAAGAATGGCAATAATGAAAAAAAGAACAATAACGAAGATAATGATAACAATACTACAACTTATAACAATAATAAAAAAGTATAAATTATTTTTTAATATTTAACTTTAAAAAAAAATAATACCTTAAGAAAGGCCTCCTTCTGCTCTTGATGTTTATTGATCAGCTGAGCAATTAGTGTTGCTCTGTCATGATCTCCACTAGTGTGCCTGCAAATATTTTATATTTAAGATCTGTTCAATACTCAGTTACTTCTGTAACGTCGAGTCTCAGTAGGAGGAGGGGCACATCAGTTGAATCAGTTCCATCAGTTGAATCCGTTCCATCAGTTGAATCCGTTCCATCAGTTGAATCCGTTACATCAGTTGAATCAGTTACTTCAGTGACATCAGTTGAATCAGTTGTTAAATTTAAATACACTTTATGCATTATATCAGGAAGATAAGAAGTCAGAACTTTTGTGCTGTAACCTCAGGATTAGCAATAATATTTCAATAAAGGGATCAAGCATTTATCTTCAAATTTAAGAGTGCCCACATCGTATATCGAAATCAAGAATTACTCCATTAAATTACATCAGCTGTAACAACTAAATGAATTAAGTCAATTGAGCCAGCTTTTGTAATTATATTAGTTGAGTCAGGTTTTTGAATAAGATTAGCTGAATAAATTTGATCTGTTAGAAAACTTGAAACATTCAATTCAATAACTGGGAAATTGATAACATCATTGCTAAATTTAGGTAACTCTGCAAAATAATGAGATGATCTTAATTTAAAACATTAAAATCTATTTTGTGCGCTGTAAAAAAATTCTTGGAATAATAAATTTCTAAAAAAATTTGTTTTAAACAATCAAAATACAACGCAATGTAGACTAGATTAACTAGCTGATTCATAAATTTACATCTCTACAATATTGATGTTGAAATGTATATATTTCTACCTGGCCAACCAGTCGTCTTCCCTCTTGTACTCCCTCTCCAAGGAGTCCAGCACACTGCACACCTGCTCCGCAGTCTTATAGAAGTTCAAGGAGGCCGTCACGAGCTTATGTCTCTCCTCTGCTCTTGTCACTAAGTTCTGCCATCTTAATAAACCATGGGTTAACTTAATATGTTATAATATAGGGGTGGGATCAGGGCTCCAGAGTTGTTTAATAAATAAAAACCTGTTTGTGACACTGTCAGCAATCTCCTTGACTCCGGCAGGATCAAAGTGATTTAACTGTAGCAGGGTCTCAGCACGCTGCCTTACATGGACCGCAGAACTGTGGGTTTTCTAAACAGATCAAAATGAAGACGATTGGTTAATGTCGTCTTCCAACACGAACTATTTCAAATTGTTCGGTATGGTTTACCTCTATCGCAACTTGGAACTGTTCATGTTCCTTCTTGAGAAGTTCAGCATCGTGAAGGGAACCAGGAATACTAAAACTCGCCATTAACATGGATTCTGTTGTTTGAATCCATCGCATAACCTAAAACAACAAAGTTAATAAAAATGGAAAGACAAAAAACGAGAAATTGGAACAAATTAAGAAGTACAAAAATTCTTCATGAAACATATTTAAGTGAAAGGAGGGAATATATTAATAATGAAGATGTATTTTATATATATTTATTAATTAAATGAATTAATGAATAATGGCATGGAGGAAAAAAAATTAAGATGTGACAAAGGGAAAAATGAATTAACAAACAAATGATTAAATGGTAGATAAAATAAATAATTAAATGACACGTAGTCCAGACTAAAATAAGACGACGACATTTTGAACAATAAGTGGTTGTAAATTTGGACAACTGTAATTTGAACTACTGATCCCATGAACTATCAAATATTTGAACAAATTGTTAATTTCATTAGTTACAGACTTTAATTTATTTCATTACAGACTTTAATTTATTTCATTACAGACATTAATTTATTTCAGAAGTTTAAATAAAACTTTCATTCAAATAAGCACTACGCAAATCTTCTCTTTAAACTAGCGTTTATTAGAAAAACTACACCAAGTGCACAGTTTAAAGGTTCATAAAACTAATAGTTCACAATACAGTAGTTCAGTTACAATAGGACATGTCTTTCATGGAGAGAAATGCCGTCTTCTACATGATACCCGAGAAAGTGTTTGTTAAGTCTGGATGACGTGATAAACAAAAATGCTATAAATAAATAAATGAATAAAGAAAAGATAAATTTTTTTAAATGTATATATGAATTATCAAAAAGGTTGCGTCTATAAAAAGATTGAAAAATATATATAAATAAATGATTAGATGGAAAGACGAAAAGATATGCTGAGTTTATAAAATGAAAGAATGTATCATCGTTAAATCAAGAAGTAAAAAATGGTAAAAAAGTATAAAAAACGGAAAGAATAATGAAAGTAAGGATACCTGACTCGCATCACTCTGATAAGTTGTAAGACTAACACATTGTTCAAGTTTAAGTCTACGAACTGCTGCTAGTTCTTCCATATCTACTCCTCTCTCCTGTACATAACATTGTACTGAATTTTACTGAACTTTACTGTACTTTACTGTACTTTAGTGTACTGTACTTTACTGTACTGCACTTTACTGTACTTTACTGTACTGTACTTTACTGTACTGCACTTTACTGTACTGTACTATAACGTTTTTTTTAATCTCAAGATATGAGACAATTTTCAAGATAAATATGTACAATTCCAGACAAAAGTGTTTTTAACTCTTTGATAATTGTACTGCTGTAAATACACTTGTACTATGTAGTATACATGTACTTATTTGTACAGTTGCTGTTACCTGTAGATATTCAAGAAGAACTTGTACTCTAGTTTCTCCATTATACTGACTATCAGCCATCAAGTTTATTCCGCTGCTCTCAAACAACTAGAAGACGACATTCATAGTCAGCATTTCTGCACCAGGTTTTAGTTTTTGTAAGATTGTATACGTAAACGTGGGAGTATTGATGTTTCTGTATAAATGAGAGTTAATATTTAAAGATTTCCATTTAGGCTTAAAATAATATTCTATTTTCTGTTTGATGTTTATAAATAAACTAAGCTTAAAGCTACTCTACTTGTCGTTGATAAGAATAATTTACATGATGTATGCTAACACAGTTCAGAGAGGATATATATGAATAGAATTGACAATAACATAGTTCAGAGAGGATATATATGAGTAGAGTTAGCAGTAACATAGCTTAGAGTGAATATATATGAATAGAGTTGGAAGTAATATACAGGGTGGCCAAAACTTTTTTGAACACATCCGTACAAAAATCCGTACATTTTCAGAAGAAATCCGTACAATCCGTACAATTTTCGAAAAACAATCCGTACAATTTTTTTTTTTTTAAATCCGTACAATCCGTACATTTTTTTAAACCAATCCGTACATTTTTTGATACAGGATATGGATACAGGATACAGGATACAAGATACAGGATACTGGATGCAAGATACTGGATACAGGATACAGGATACAAGATACTGGATACAGGATACAGGATGCAGAATTCAAGATACGGTTTATCTTTTCTATTTTAGGATACTTACTAATTTGTGGATACAGCATACAGGATATAGAATACAGGATACAGGATACAGGATACAGGAAACAGGAAACAGGATACAGGATACAGGATACAGGATACAGGATGCAGGATACAGGATACAGGATACAGGATACTGAATACTGGATACTGGATACTGGATACTGGATACTGGATACTGGATACAGGATACAGGATACAGGATACAGGGTACTGGGTACTATATACTGAGTACATGATACTGGGTACAAGATACTGGGTACAGGATACAGGATACTGGATACTGGGTACATGATAAGGGTACAGGATACTGGGTACAGGATACCGGGTACATGATACTAGGTACATGATACTGGGTACTTGATACTGGGTACAGGATACTGGGTACAGGATACTGGATACTGGGTACATGATACAGGATACTAGATACAGGATACAGGATACTGGATACAGGATGCAGGATACTGGATACAGAACACAGGATACTGGATTGATACTGGATACTTGATGCAGGATACTGGATCCAGGATACTGGATACAGAATACTGGATACAGGATACTGGATACTGTATACTGAATACAGAATATAGGATACAGGATACAGGATACTGGATACAGGATACAGGATACAGGATACAGGGTACAGGATATTGAATGAATACTGGATACAGGATACAGGATACAGGATACAGGATACAGGTTATTGAACTTAATATAGGATACAGGATTCTGGATACTGGATACAGGATACTGGATACTGGATACTGGATATTGGATACTAGATACTGGGTACATAATTCTGGGTACATGATACTGGGTACATGATAATGGGTACATGATACTGGGTACATGATACTGGGTACATGATACTGGGTACATGATACTGGGTACATGATACTGGGTACATGATACTGGGTACAGGATACTGGGTACAGGATACTGGGAACAGGATACTGGGTATAGGATACTGGGTACAGGATACTGGAACATCTTCTTGAATAAGCAATCAAATAAGTACTTATGGACCATATTCTCAAATAAACACTTCTTGGACATATCTCGAAAATTATGAATGCATTTTGATTGTCAATTGAAACATTAATCAATCTAATATTATTTAGAATTCAGAAATAAGTTAAACTAACTTCATTTTGACGAGAATTTTTTTTAAATTTTCATGAAAAATTTGCTGAAATGATTGAAAAATAAAAAAACGGTGTATTTTCCAGGATAAAAATCCGTACAATCCGTACAATTTGAAAACAAATACGTACAATCCGTATAATCCGTACATTTTGGCCACCCTGAATATAGTTCAGAGATGATAAATATAAGAGTTGGCAGTAGCATAGTTCAGAGAGGAAATATATGAATAGAGTTGGCAGTAACATAGTTCACAGAGGATATATATGAATTGAGTTGGCAGTAACATAGTTCAGAGAGGATTTATATGAATAGAGTTGGCACTGACATAGTTCAGAGAGGATTTATATGAATAGAGTTGGGAGAAATATGGTTATGATTTTCAAAAAACTTAATTCAGATCGTATATGCCTGATAATGACTTTTACAGCTCTAACAATGTAATGATACAGGATTACCCGCAAAGGATGAGACTGTAAAGACGACGTGAAACTCTTAAAATGTGACGATTTTAAAGTTAATTTAAGTCTTATCCTTGAATATTGTCTTTAAAATGCTTTTTTAATGATTAGATAAAAAAAGAAACCTACAGTTGGCTGTTACAGGGAATTGTGAATAAAAGGAAACAGTCAGAATAAATTCCGTTTAGTCATCCTTTTTAGGTAACCCTGTATATGCTCTCTGCCGAAATTTACAAGTCTTTAAACTGGTTTAAAAATAAGATTTTGAAGAATTTTAAAAAAATATGATATACTTGTAGTAGATTAATCGATTAGCTATCATGCATGCTTTAGAGAAAATATTTAAAGATTCTCTATTAATTTTAACTAAAATCATAGAAAGTAATATAAATAAGTGATTTAACCTGTAACAGATCTTGTCCCCTCTGTACTACACTATATGTAGCAGACTGTATATGAGAGATCTAAACAAATATATTTATTTAACATCAAACATTCTATTATTATCTTCAGTAATATTTGAAAAATTTTAATGCAATTACTTTCTTTTCCCTATTCCTTTTCTTGCGATTACACGGCTATTTAAAACATTATATATCTTAATGTTTTCCAGCCTTCTACAACTTCTTCAACTTAAAATATTTTAACTTTAAAACTTCCTGCCTATCAATCCATTATCCATCCATAACCTTCCTGCCTACCTATCCATTATCCATCCATACCCTTCCTGCCTACCTATCCATTATCCATCCATACCCCTCCTGCCTACCTATCCATTATCCATCCATACCCTTCCTGCCTACCTATCCATTATCCATCCATACCCTTCCTGCCTTCCTATCCATTATCCATCCATACCCTTCCTGCCTTTCTATCCATTATCCATCCATACCCTTACTGCCCTATCCATCCAAGCCCTACGTACCCTATCCATCTATGCTCTATCCATGCTCTTTCTTCCCAACCTATGCATCCCCTTTCCGGTCCTATCTATCCATCCATACCCTACCTGTCCAACCTATCTATCCATCCATACCCTACCTGTCCAACCTATCTATCCATCCATACCCTAGTTGTCCAACCTATCTATCCATCCATACCCTACCTGTCCAACCTATCTATCCATCCATACCCTAGTTGTCCAACCTATCTATCCATCCATACCCTAGTTGTCCAACCTATCTATCCATCCATACCCTACCTGTCCAACCTATCTATCCATCAATACCCTAGTTGTCCAACCTATCTATCCATCCATACCCTACCTGTCCAACCTATCTATCCATCTATACCCTAGTTGTCCAACCTACCTATCCATCCATACCCTACCTGTCCAACCTATCTATCCATCCATACCCTACCTGTCCAAACCATCTATCCATCCATACCCTACCTGTCCACCTATGCCATTTCTATCCAACTTATCTGCATGCATGCCCTTCCTTCACTATCCATCAAAGACCTTCCTTCCCTATTCAGTATCCATTCATGCCCTTCCTGTCCTACCTGATCGTCTAGTTGCCTAGAAGCTCGTTCTGCGTCCTCCACACTATTCCGAGGAAGAGGACCAGTGTGCAACTCCTCCCCCCACACCTAGTGGGATATTAGGATGAGAACAAAAACATTTAAAAATAAATCCATATCAAAGTTGAAAATTTTAAATCATTTATTTTTTAAAGGTCTCAAAATTACCTCGAATTGAGCGCTGAGCTCTAAAGCATCTCGCTCAAAAAGTCTGAGCTGAAGGCAAAGATCTAGTCTGAGCTTTCTGGTAGTCCAGAGCTCACCTAGCTCCTCCCTCTCACCGGAGAGTCTGGTTAGAGTACTCTGCACAGATGCAACAGAACCTGGAGTAAAACAAATATAAAATGTCTGAACATACTGAAAAAAAGCATCAAAGGTCAAATAAGGTTTCTAAAAAACTAAACTGCAGTTTTATTTCCTTCAAAAGTTTACACTTACAGGCGGCATGATCTGTGCTTAACGTAAATTTCTTTCTTTCCGAAGTAAGGATCCATATTCTCCTAGTACCTGGAGTACAATGATCCATGTTTACCTGAATTAAGGATTCATGTTCTCCTAGTACCTGGAGTAAGGGTCCAGGTTTACCTGGAGTATAAGGGTCCATACTTTCATAATCCATTTCTTGGTCAATTCCCTATTCTTCTAATACCTGGAGTAAGGATCCATGTTTACCCGGAGTAAGGATCCATGTTTACCTGTAGAATCCATCTCTTGATCTATTCCTTGTTCTCCAAGTTCTCGGAGTAAGGATTCTCCTTCTTGAATTGTAGACTGCAGCGCATCTAATGTGCTCTCCCGCTGAGATGTAAATTTTCAATAGTTATATTTTATGCCTTGAATACTATTCAAATATTTGTAAAGTGAAATAATTAGCAAAAGAAGTTCCGAGACCATTTATAGGAATTTGTCCAGGGGGAGGGCTTAACTTTATTTTTGCAATGGGGGCTTGGATAATATCCCGATGGAAACCTTAGTTTTCACTTATTTAGCATCACCAATAACCCCTAAGTGTACACCCATGACAGGAAAAAGGAAACTGTACCTGGGTTGAGAACTGGTCTAGCAGGCGTTCAGCATTCTCTGCTGTCTCAGCCACCTCCTCACTGGCTAGCTCCCCTTTCAACTCTGCTAACCAGCTACCCAGCTACAATACAAATTAATAAATAAACCTTCAATCAATCAATGAAGAAAGAACACATTTGGATTTATATTGTACCACGCGATGGTATTTAAATATGTTAATTAATTATTATCAAAAAAAAAGAGGAAACTAACAGCTTTCTGAATAATTATAAAACCAATCTCACATTTTTATGTAAAAATTATAAAATGTTACTCCAAAATTTGAATTTCAGAAGTTAAAATGATATAGTTCTGAGCTGAAAACTTTAGAATAAGATATCCTTAATCTCGATTAATTAATCTGAGTATCCAATGGACACAGTTTGAGTTTCTTCTTAAACCGTTATATAGTAGAGAAAAAAAATCAAAAACCGGTTTTTTAAAATTAGAGAGTTCCTCCCGTTTCTGTATATAATCTTAAAAGGTGCCCAGTTTTAAATTTATCGGCTTCATATTCGCGACTCTGATTGGTTGAATTTTATAAACATTTTAGGATACAAGTACAAGATTAGGTTAGTCTCGATATTAAGAAAAAGAGAGGATCAAGCATTAATCTCGATATCCACCATTCTAAAGTTTTCAGTCCCTTAAAACTCTTGACAGAACGGAAAAACTATATTGCGTGCAGCGTGATGGACCCGTAATGACATGACAGTGAGCGCGTGATGCCGCAAAATGACATTAATTCCTGTTATTAATGCTATTATAAACTGGAATATGAATGTATAAAAACCCACGTAAAGTCGTATAAGGAAACCCTTTATCTTTATATCACAAGATATATTTCAATATTAACAGCCCATGCATGCATAAATGCAAACCTCCATAAACTGTAAACTATCTCTCTGTATTTAATTTACCAACAGGGGTCAAAACTTTTGTGCAATATAGCGCTAATCTTCCATCCACTTGATTTCGTTATCAATTGTAGCAACTTATACATTTGAGGGGCAAGGACTTAGTTTTTCCATTCTAGGTTTCGACCATTAGATAATGGATATCCTATAGGAACTAAATGAATCCTTTTACTTAATTCCGAGATTATTAATACAGTGTTGATCCAGTACTAATAAATACAATTATTAAAAAGAATAACTTATTTATTCACCAAAAAGCTAAAATTTCTAACTTTTATCAAATAGTTAAATAGTTTAAATAGTTGAATTTTTAAATTTTATGTCGAATATTTTACCTCCTCTACATGAGAATAGAAGAGAACAGCTGAGTCTAGGATATGTCGTCTTCCCTCTACACGTGCAGCGAAGCTTGCAATATGGTTCTCCAGCTCCCGTGCAACACTGAATAATGTCCACAATAAAATATTTAATTATTTCATTTATGTATATTTCGGAATGTGAATATTATACAGGTTCTGCAACAGAATATTCCTGATAGTAAAGCTGTCAATAAAACCATTTCTGCAGTAGCACGGAATTTACACCAGGAATCCCCACATCTTTATTTACAAAAAGGGCGTACTGCAATTGCTGGGAGAAATATAAACAAACCTGTTGCTACTCAGGTTAAGTTTTTATTAATATTCCTCCAAGAAAATACAAAACATGTTCATGGTAACAAAAATGTTGGGGTTCCCGGTGAATATTCCTTGGCTTAAACATTAACATTGTCGATTTAACTAATTTGTTCTAAGGTATCTTAAATCTTAATTTCATGTTAACAAAGCAGCTAATCTAGCAAGATAAAATACTACTTTTTAAATTATATTTTTTCATCAAAACTCTAAATTTTATTTAAACATATAAAAAAATTTTATGACTATGTTAGGTTATTACAAATCTAATTTTATTAATATTTTCTTTTAACCAAAAGGTATAACATCCACATCCAGCCTTAAATATATAAATAACCCTTGAAAAAGTGAACAAACATTTGAAATGAAAACAAACCTTGGAAATGTAAACAACCCTTAGAAAAGTAAACAAATCGTTAATATGTAAACAGACCTTTAAATGTAAAGAAACCTTTAAAATGCAAACAACCTTTAAAAAAATAAAAAACCTTTAAAATTTAAACAGACCTTTGAAATGAAAAGAACCCTTTGAAATGTAAACAGACCTTTAAAATGCAAATAAACTTTGAAAATGAAAGAAACCCTTTGAAATGTAAACACATCTTTCAAATGTAAACAAACCTTTGAAATTGAACAAAACCCTTCAATATGTTAAGAGACCTTTGAAATGTAAACAGACCGTTGAAATGTAAACAGACCGTTGAAATGTAAACAGACCTTTGAAATGTAAATAGACCTTTGAAACGTAAACAAACCTTTGAAAATGTAAACAAACCTTTGAAAATGTAAACAAACCTTTGAAAATGTAAACAAACATTTAAAATCTAAACAAACCTTTCAAAATGTAAAAAAACTTTTGAAAAGTTGACAAACCTTTCAAATATTAAAAATCTTTGAAATGTAAACAGACCTTTGAAATGTAAACAGACCTTTGAAATGTAAACAACCCATTAAAAAGTAAATAAACCTGTAAATATCCTCGGCATTGCACTCTCCTGTTTGCGCCAGTTCCTCTGCAGCTGCCAACAGCTTCTCAGCGTTCGTGTAGGTGTTCTACAACAACAACAGTTTAGTTTAGGAACAGTTTAGTATAGGGATGCCATTAGTGTTCTACAACAACAACAGTTTAGTATAGGGATACCATTGATGTTCTACAACAACAACAGTTTAGAATTGGGATAACATTAGTGTTCTACAACAACACGAGTTTAGTATAGGGATACCATTAGTGTTCTATATATATATTATATATATATATATCTTCTATAAAATAAGAATTGTAGAAAGAATGAAAGAAAATTGTTAAGAAAGAAACTAAATAATATAGAATTATAGACATTTTTGATGTATTTGATCAAAAAACACTATTCCCCCCTTCCGTATGAAGAATTTCTTTTCTCAAAACAATTGCAAACTATATTTTTTATCATATATATATAATTAAATAAATATAGATTCAATCCAATTTTCATATATCATGTAGGATACTACTCTACGGTTTCTACGGTATATGATGGACGTGGACTAATTATTATTACAAAGATACTCTCGAAACCTCTTATTAAAGTGATTTTGAATAAGTTATTTTGTTGAAAATACATAGTTGAGGAAAAGCAAAAACTTTAAAAAATGTTATTTTACAATTCATTTTACAACTTCTGCTGCATCAACATTTACCAAAAAGTAAATATTATTGAAGATTTTAAACCTACTATTTCAACTCGTAAATATTACTCAATCCCGAAATTTTTCTAACGTTTACGCAGATTGCGTTCATTTATACACGCAACCTGACTGGGTGGCATTTTCAGGATTGTGTCGAACATTTGAATAATTATAGATTAGGTTCAGATAATGTATCTTTTTCCCCAATTATTTTATAAAGCAGTTTTGTTTATACACATAAATAGTGTTTCCTATATTTACCCAATACAATATGTTTCAAGTTGTAATTTGCAAACACATTTTTTTTGCTGGGCTATGGCTGTAAACAGAAGCTTAAACAAGATTATTCACAATGGGCCAGAGCTTAGTCACCATTTTGGACTGAATCCCCTTGGAACTCAAAGTTTTCACTTTTCCAAGGAGGGTGGGGGGCTTATCCTCCTTGACCCAACCCCCTGTATATGTCCCTGGCTAAAGCTATGTATACAAAATGTTATAAATAAATATATTCTAGACAACTAGTAAACATGTTATATATATAATATAAATATTTATATATATATATATATATATAGATTCAATTATTCTATATTGACAAAAGTCTGGTTAGTGTTGATGTTACATTAACCAGGTCTCATGTTTATATTTATAATTCAGGATTTATATTCAAATCTTAATATCATCATACTTTTATACCCCCCTTCAACTTTTATACCACCTTTCAACTTTTATACCACCTTTAAACTTTTTTACCCCCCCTTCCTTTCAACTTATATAACACCCTTTATTTCAACTTTTATACCCCCTTTCAACTTTTATACCCCCCTTCCTTTCAACTTTTATACCCCCTTCCTTTCAACTTTTATTCCCCCCCCATTCCTTTTAACTTTTATAACACCCTTCTTTTCAACTTTTATACCACCTTTCAACTTTTATACCCCTTCCTTTCAACTTTTATAACAACCTTTATTTCAACTTTTATACCCCCTTTCAACTTTTATACCCCCCTTCCTTTCAACTTGTAACCCCACTTCCTATCAACTGTTATACCCCCTTCCTTTCAACTTTTATACCCTCCTTCCTTTCAACTTTTAACACCTTCAACGCCCCCCCCCCCTTTAATTATCAAACCATCTTTAACGCCCCCCACCCCCTAATTATTTAATTTGTGTTCGTGACTTCTCGTTAATTACTAATTATCCGCTGATTACTCTAAAACACAAATATTACATTATCCATTACATTATGATATGAAGGATGTTTTTTTTTTCTTTCTATTATTTCCAATGAGTTGTTAAATAATGAAGCAATTTGTAATTTCTCCCTTCCCGGCCATTTGTCTTGAAATTTATGACAGACCCGTCTTATTGTCCAGAGCTGATTGTGCAATTGAGATAAATAGAAATAGTCTTTACAAAAACAAAAAATACTTGTATTAAAAAAAGGCACATTTAGGGCATGCAAAAGAATTTCAGATCACATCAATTACTTTTAAGGAAATAGGAAATATTTAGAAAATACATAATAAAATCATTTCCCAATTTACCCCCCCCCCCCCCGGGACCCCCGTCATTGTAGGAGAAAATTATCTGGTTGAGTAACCCCTATTGCACTATGATTGCATATATCTGAGTATATCTATTTATATTGTGTATATATTGTAGACGTGAATACTAAATATATCATATTTACGGATAAAAGATTCACCGTAACACGAGGAAACACCCTTCCTTACTCAGACAATCAGTCAACCTTTACTTAACTTCCATTCATTGCCTTCTCCCCCCCCCCTTCCTCCCTTGCACCTTCACCCCACTCCCCTCTCCTGAATCCCTTCCTTCCATGATCCCATCCCACTCCAACTTATGCGAACCATATCTCTCTACCTAGTCAAAAATGAATCTATCCTACTCCCCTCTATTTTCTTGCCAATTCCCTCCTTTCTACCATCTACAGGTGCACAAATTAGGTTTAAGATTGGCGTGGGGGGGGGGGGTTGTATTATTGAATGAAAACAAAAAGATTCCCTCCCTTATTTACGCTTGTGACTCCTACACCCCAACCATCCAACCCCCCTCTCTAGTTTTCTCTCAATATTCTCCATCCCCTTTCAATATTTAACCTTTGTTCCCCCCCCCCACCTTGTTAATTAAACAATGATAAGGAATAATATAAAATAATTAATAATGTACTGTGCTGTACCCAGACACACCCTTTAACCAAATTACAAGCATACTTTGAACAAAAATTTTAGGCAGATAAAAGATTTATTATAATTCAATATCAAATCCCCCCCCCTAACCCCTTACCCTCCACCCCTCTCATGCAGGATCAAACTAAGCCCTAGATCATGATTGTATTCCCATTTACTCTAATCTTCAAACCTATCTTTAATCGTTTTCTGCACTTTCGTCAGTCTTTTAACCATTCCAACCTCCTTTGATCCCACCTTTTCTTGCTCATTCAAACCTCTTCGTGATCATTCCTACCTACTCTTGATCATTCCCACCACCGTTAACTCATTCCCACCTCCTTTGATCATTCCCACCTCTTCTTGCTCATTCAAACCTCTTCGTGATCATTCAAACCTCTTCTTAATCATTCCTACCTACTCTTGATCATTCCCACCACCTTTAAGTCATTCCCACCTCCTTTGATCATTCCCACCTCTTCTTGCTCATTCAAACCTCTTCGTGATCATTCAAACCTCTTCTTGATCATTCTACCTACTCTTGATCATTCCCACCACCTTTAAGTCATTCCCACCTCTTCTTGTTCATTCAAACCTCTTCGTGATCATTCCTACCTACTCTTGATCATTCCCACCAACTTTAAGTCATTCCCACCTCCTTTGATCATTCCCACCTCTTCTTTTTTCTCCCAATCCTAAATATTTCTCATATTTCTGAGTCATAAAACGCATCTCTTTTATCCTTAAATTATTTCAAATCCATGGGCACTTTCCAAACCTTCCACTCGACCTCAACCCTCTACCATCTCTTAAACACGGAGTTAGTGAGGTAATATCAATGGCAAAGGAGCATTGCAACACTTCAAAGTCGACCTAGTCTTGATAGTTGATGCAGATTTTCAGAGCAGTCTTGAGTTATGTAAATCGCTTACACCAAAAATGCCATGAGCACATAGTGATGAGAGAGATGATGAAAAAGAGTAAAAAGGAAGTGAAAGAAGAAATTTAAAAAAGAATAGAAAAAGGAATAAGAAGAAAAATCCAAGAAAATGTCTTGATATCGAGAATAGGAAGGAAAGTTCTGCTAATGTGTGTGCTTAGATGATATCGCAAGAAAATTAAGAAATCATTTGTAACTAAGTGCAGGGGGGGGGGTATGATGTTTTTTATTGATATAGACCTAATTTGGTTTGGTATCTTACAAGCGATCTTCCTTGAATATATGCCAGGGAAAAATAATTTCCACATATTTTGGAAAACTAAAAATTTGGAGATAATGATTTTCAGAAAAAATGAAAAAAATAGTTTTTTTTTTGGGGGGGGGGAAGATATTCCCCCCTGATTTATATATGTATTGTATAGGTGGTATATATCTAGTATATGATCTATAATAATGCAAACATGCTGTTGTATAACACTGTATTATATGGACAGATACAAATTATATCTTCACTATCAGTAATATATATATATACGTAGATACAATACAATGGATTTTAAGATGTCTAAAACTGCCTTTTTTAGGTTTTGCTAAATTTAGTGAAATTGAAAGTTTTATAAAAAAATTCATGTAGAACTAAGTTCATGTCTCAAACTCTAATTTTATCCCAGAAACTTTGAAACCTGAAGGTACAAACCTTTTGTGTTCATACTTTGGCTTTGAAATATTAAAGATCCAGGACATTCGGTTGCAAAGATATAGGGATAAGAAAATTCGAGTATGATGAAAGTAATCAGTTTATTTGGAGTAAACCATTCATTTGTAATTTGGCTCATTGTGCATGAACTTGAAACTATTGAAAATATTATTGATCAAAAAGTTGTGACAAACTCATAGCTGATGCATGTTAAAACATGACATACCTGAAATGAATAATTAATATTAGATTTGTCTAAAATGAAACAAATATTGAATAACTGTTTTAATATCAGCAAATATACATAGATAGGTCATAAATTAGAATCCGACTTAAAAGAATGTGGAAGTTTTATTGTATAAAAAATTTATACATAGTGTACATTTGTGTTGTGTTCTAAGTACAGCTTTGTTTTCAACCTGACCCCAGTAACATCTGAAGGTTGGTTATTTATCATGTTTAAAATTGGTTTCATGCACACTGTACCAGAGATGGGCAATATCATTTTTGCTCACTCAAAAAAAAACTTTTTTTTAAAAACTCTGTCAAAAATTTCAAAA